CTCTAATTTAATTGGTTTGAGACCTGAGCATCAATGGTGCACCAAGAAAAGTTCCACTTAAGGTATGCCATCCATCACATGTTAAACCAGGAATAGTTCAGCCCTAAAAACTTCTATTTGGAAGTGAAAATCAATTAAAAAAGGTCAGACTAAGAAAATTTCCAAAAATACATTGATTCATCGCTTGGCCGTCATAGAAGTGTGCAATCCTATCAGAATCAGACCCGCGTTGAGATTTTGACCTTCAAATTTTGAGGCGATTCCCTTGAAAAAATTTATAGACGCTCCTGCTCTAAAGTGATCTGTTTTGTAGGCCCTGGTGTCAATTTTACATTATTTAAAATATTTTGATTGATTAAACAAGTTTAAACGTTTTGAAGACATACTTACTTTAACAATGTTCCTACGTGAAGCTTAAGTTACAACAAAAGGCTTTTCATCTATCTCTATTGCTGACCTTGTCACCAAGTTCGTACAAATTCTCTGTCCGCACAATAAGCTGGCATTCTTTCATCACTGATATTCGTCAAGTAGCTTTTAAAGCTCCTGAGCGTCTCTTTTCTTGCGGATTCTATCCCAGGACGGTGTAACAAACTTTTGTATGTATCTTAGCATTTTTCGCAGCGAAACCTTCGTTGGCTTCACAACTGAGTCGATAAATTATTATATACATATCCAATGGCTACGTTTCTTATATTTACAGCCTTCAATACCCATAACAACACGATCCAGATCTAGAAAATAATCACGAGTAATATGATATTGCAGGTTGCTGATCAAGTTTTATGAGATGAATTTTGAGGAGTTCTGCAATTTTAAACTTTTGTTTTAAAAACTTTTTCACTTGCTTAGCTTCTGTAATTTTATTACAAAACAACAACTTTTCGATTTTTAATTAAATTCGCATCTCACTTTTAACCTATAATTACAAACAATAATTAACCTATAAGTAGCCTTGTAACGAACATCGTGTCCAGCTAAAGCTTATTTAGCTAATTTCATTTAATTTTTTTATTTTAAATTATAAAAAAATAATTCAACACTTTTTAAACTGACCGTTTAACCATCTGTTGCACAATCATAAAGCACCCCTTTCTGTAATCTTATTGTTCCGATTTCTTCGACATTTCTTCCCAGACTGTCCTGCATGCGTCTTTTTGTCGTCTCCGATAGCCACAAGGAAAAATATTTACGAATCACAAAGGGATGAATTTTTTATTAAGGAACAAAACAAGTTCCTTTTGTCTCAAAATCATTTAAATGTGAAACAAAACTTGTTCTTAATTTTTTTTGTACAGACTGACCAACGGTCAACAAAAAAGGGGGATTTTGTTCAAATCTCAAAACAGGACGATTTTGATGAATTTTATTTAATTTGTCCCAAATGAGGATTGCTGAACTGGTTTTACTGGAAATTATGGAATTAAATTTTAGTTTTAATTTATTTTTTTGTTGTGTTTTGAGATTTTATGGACAGATTTTGATAAAATCTATGTCGAGCATCACAAATGCAAATAGGAAAGCATGGATTTTGCCAAGAAGAGTCTTGATTTTTTTGAATTTTTAAAATAGCTTGAAAACGGTTCTGTAAACGAATTTCAATCTCAAGATAAAGATTCAGACCTAATTAGACCCAATTAGAATTAAAAAAGTATGCAATACAGCTTCACAATTATTCCTAACCCCATCTTAACTCAATAAGAACAAAAAAAAACTTTTCCTTACAAATCTTTTTAATTCACAAAGGAAATAAAATTAAAAATATTTCCAACCCACTTCTTTCCCGCCTTCATTTTAATTCAAAAAAACTTTTCCTCCATTTACATTTTCACAATTTTTATTTTTCCATAACTTTTCTTATATTAAAAATATGATTTATTTAAATATAATGAGCTCTTTTAAATCTCATTTTCCTGCCATGCAGTACACATTTCCCATCCCGCAACAGTACGAAAAAAAATTATCATGAAAAAATGTCTCAGCACACTCGCAGTGCTGAAGAAGAAAAATTTAAAAAAGAGAGGAAAATAATCCATTAAAAAACTTTTTTTATTTTCTTCTCCACCTTCATTGCCGTACTTTATAGTCGCATAAATGTGGATATGTGTATGATTTTATTATGTGCTGTAGAATCATAGAGAAAGAAAAAAAATTGTATATAAAAATATTTATTTAATTTATTAAGCGGGAAGTAGGAGGAATTTTTTACATGATTTTTATTTTGTGGGGCGATGGAAGGTTGTTGAAACAAGTTCGAGGAGCCATTTGAGTTTTCATTTTGATCGTATATGGAAGAAATTTTTATTTAAAAATTCAGGTGCCTCCACACTTGATTTTTAACTTTTAATTGTTCATGTGCCTCTACATTAGAATTCTGAGATTCAGATTCCTTCACTTAACAGTTAAATTTTTCGGGTGCCTTTACATTAAGGTTTTGATTTTGAGGTGTCATCACACTAGAGTTCTGATGTTCAGGTGCCTTTACAGTAGTTTTTATAATTATTCAGGAACCTTTACATTAGAGTTTGATGTTCAGGTGCCTTTACAAAAGAGTTTTAAGATTTAGGTGTCTTTAACCTAGAGTTTGGTCTGCCTTTGTGGTGTCTTTGAACTAGAGATTTGATATTCAGGTGCCTTTACAGTAGATTTTTAATTGTTCATGTGCCTTTCCATATTAGTTTTTATGTTTAGGTTAATGAAAATTAGATTTTGATTAGTTCAGGTGACTTCACACTAGACATTCAATGTTCAGTTGCATTCGCACTAGACATTTAATGTTCAGGTGCCTTCCCAATAAATTTTTAATCTTCATCCATTTCAATTTTTGAATTTTTCAGCATAATTTTCCGTACATTTGCTGCTTTTGATCTCAAAAGGTGACATTAAAGTTGTTGTTGATGAGCACACATTATGCGCAATTCTAAAAACTCTCAGTCCAACAGCTTTAAAAAATTTCGGATCAATACTGACAATTGAGTTAAAGCTTAAATCAATGAATGTTAAATTTGGATGAAAGCCAAACGAATTGGATTGAATTACTGTTAATTTATTGTGCAATAATATTAAGGATTCCAAATTTTCTTGTGGTTTGAAAATATCTTTTGGCAATTCCGAAATATCGCAATTATTCAGGATAAGTGTAGTTATGGTTTTTAAGCTCACGAACCATTCTGTTGAAAATCCTTGAAGATTTCTCGATTGAATGCAGAGTTGGAAGCGTGCTGAAAAGCGTCCACAGGCAAAACCGGCAGACGGCATTGTCGGTAGACGCTTTTTGACTGCAGCCGGTAGTTTTTTTTTTGCCGGCAACCGGCAAAAACGGCTACCGACATTGCCGGTCGCCGGCAAAAACGGCGACTGGTAAGACGCTGAGCGTCCAAAAAATGAAAATTTTAAAAAATTTTCTATTAACAATGAAAAATGTTGGGAATGTTGATTTAAAATAATAAAAGTAGTTAAATATGATTAAAACTTGTAAAAAATTATTTGAAAAATGGTAAAAAACGAAAATCATAACAAACGATAAAATAATTGCTGCAGATTCTAAATTTTTCTTTTTATTACTATGTTTAAACTATTTTTCTTTTTAAGTGTAAGTTTTTTTTGTTAAGTCGAAATTTTTTTTATTTGTTTTTTAAACTTCTTTCTGTTTTGTTTTTAAGTACGTTTAAGTTGATGATGTTGAAGTTGATTTTTTTGTTTTTTTTTTTCTTTGTTTTTTTTCTGTTTTTTTACTTCTTTAAACTTCTGTTTCGTCTTTTTTTCTAAGTGTGTCTAAGTCTAATTTTTTCATTCTCTATTTCCGTTTTGTTGATTTTTTATTACACGCTTTTTATTGAGTTGCTCTGTCTGTTTCTTTGTATGTCACGATCAAATCTTGCAATCGATTTTTCGACCACTTCTATTGCTCCAATCGAGCTCAAATTTTGTATACACACGTATTCCCGGTGACAATACAATATTTTAACACTTTAGAACCACACAAATGCTTAATTATAGTACAATTTTAATAAAACTTTTTTATATGGGAAAAAAATCCAATGTCAATGATATAAAATTTTGATTTGTTTAAAATATTATACTTGAAATGCTCAAAAGTCATTTATATGATTCACTATAGTTTAATTAATATTACTAATTATTAATAATACTAATAATTGGAGAAGCTGAAGATTTTCTGGGAGGATGAAAAAATTGACAAGTAATTTTTTCATGAATATCCGTAAGTGAAAATTTGAATTTTCAAAAAAACCGTTAAGCACAAGTCCGTTACGAATTAATGCAAAATAACTATCAATACGTGATGTGCATTTAGCACACATAATTTGAGCATAAACGTATGCTGTTTTAAATGTATTACAATATTTATAGCACTTCACCAACTTAATTAAATTTACTTTTCTATTTATTATCGGCTTAACGTAATTTTGCATAACATATAGATGTGATTTGCATCTTTATGCTAAGAATCCACACGTTATGTAATAGGAATGGTACGGATAAACACAAAATCTTTACGATTGATTTTTAATGTTCTTTACTCATGAATGTTTTAAAAAACACAGAAAACGCACATAATTGAAGTTCAGGACATTTTTTGGAAGAGTTTTATGTGTTTCCAGGTATGACTTAAATTATAAAAACGAATGAAAAATCCTGACAGTCGTTACTAATTACCCATTAAAAAATGGGAATATGTTAAAAGTTGAACGAAACGAAGTGGAGTTGAATTTGAATTGTTGTGATCGATATTCGATTAAAAGATTTAGACAAAAAAGTAGAAAATAAAAAAATGTTAAAAAAAACTTTTTAAAAAACACGCTTTTAACAAAAAGACTAAAAACCAAAAAGATGAAAATAAAATAAGATCACACTTTTAGCGAATCAGGATTTTAAAAATTTTCTTGTGACAACTAGAAATGTAACATAAATTTTTTTCAAAATATTGTGATTAAGTCCAAGAACACAATGACTCGAAAAGCGTGGGGCTTTGAATTCATCGATGAATTCCCAGGCGTCTTCATTGAGAGCAAGTATTTCGTGTGTAAACGCAACTTCCTGGAGCTGATTTCTGAATTCATTGACGTCGCTAATCATCCCATACAAACTGTCCCATCTTGTTTCGACGTCCAAGCGCAGGCTTCTGATTCTTGCAGCATGAAGAACTTGAGAGAACTCAAGTCTCTTTGATGCCTTCACAAGAGCTCGTATTTCTGCTATGACCATCCTAAAATCGATGATGACGTCTGTTACTGCGAGTTGACATGTGTGCGCACCACAAACCATTTTTGAACACAGAGCTCCTTCGTCTACCATGACTTCTGTAACTAATGGCTCTGGATCTTCATGTTCCTGTTCATCATGCAGATGTTGTTGTTGTTCATCCCACTCACGATCGAGTTCTGCCTCTACACGAAGCATATGTTCCACATTTCTTCTGCTCGCTCTGCTGCTTGTGCTCCGTCGATGTTTATTTCTTCTTCATGCTCAAGGTTTGCTATTGCTCGGCATATTCTGATAGCATCTTGCGCCTGTATTGCCAAATCAGCTGCTCTGAGCATATTAGCTCCTTGGTCGGTGCATGTTGAGTATATGTCGTTGATCGTCAAACCAACTTTCCTGATTAGTAGCTCAACTTGGTTAAAGAGGTTCGCTCCTGTTTGTCGTTGATGTTGAGTGATGACTCCTATGGTACGCTCAACTACTTTGTCTCCCTTTGCGTAGCGCAGACTCACTGCAAAGACGTGTCTTCCATGTCTTGATGCAGAGTCGAACATTATTGATACTAACTTGCCTTTAGTCTCATTTGCAATCTCTTTGTAGATTCCTTTTAATGGTTCTTGGATATCCTCTATGTCATTCTCTGTGAAATCTTCTCCTGCTGCTTGAAGAATATATTCTCGGAGCTTCTTTCGATTGAAGACCTTATTGTAAGCATCGAACTCAATTTTTGGACGCTCAGCGTCTTACCAGTCGCCGTTTTTGCCGGCGACCGGCAATGTCGGTAGCCGTTTTTGCCGGTTGCCGGCAAAAAAAAAACTACCGGCTGCAGTCAAAAAGCGTCCACCGTTTAGCGTTTTTACCGTCCGGGCGCTCAGCGTCGTGCCAACTCTGATTGAATGTTCAAATATTTTAGATTCTTTAACAATTTGAAAAATTCCGGACTAAATGAAATGCTTCCTTGGCTCACGATGGTTAAAAACTCTAAATTTGCAGCTTGTGATGTAAATAATTTTTCAGGTATGTTTCCATTTAATACACTTGCAATTGTAAAAATACTCAATTTTGGATTCGAAAGAAGCCAATTTTCAGGTAAACTAAAAATTTTCGTATTCGTCAAGTCCAAAAATTCAAGATTTTCACAATGTTTAAAATCTGTATCTGATATGTCACTTAATACTTGATTACGAAACTTAATTGATGTTAAGTTTTTAAATTTTTAACATATTATTGTTGGAAAAACTGATGAGTAGGATCCAGTTCGAGCATTAACAAGGACCACGTCTTTATCTGATTTACCATTTACGTGCGACCCATTGATATCATTTGTATTAATGTAGTTCGTAAGTATAAACAAATATAAGTCGCAGGAATATTGAAATGTTAAAGCTGCTGAATATGAACATTGAAGGATTTGTGCCATTGCTTTGAGATTAACCAAACTTAAAATTGTATATTCAAAAATCATTTTCGAACTGCTCAATGTGAACGATGGATGTGAACTATTCAAAACGTTGTTCAAATCAGGAAATTGTTGGCAGTTTTCAACAATAAAATTTTTCTTGTTTAACATATTTTTAACAACTTCTGAAAATGGGAACTTTTTTCGGTGCTTTTACACTAGACTTCAATTGTTTAGGTGTCTTCACACTTAAGTTACTAGGCTCAGGTGGCTTCACACTAGATTTCATAAGTTCAAGTGTCTTCACACTTAAGTTACTAGGTTCAGGTGTCTTCACATTTAAGTTACTAGGTTCAGGTGGCTCAACACTAGAATTCATGAGCTCAGGTATCTTTAAACTTAAGTTCCCAGGCTCAGGTGGCTTAAAACTAGAATTCATAAGTTCAGGTGTCTTCACACTAAACTTGCGTGATTTAAATGCCTTCGAATTAGAGCTTCTGTTTTAAAAAAATTGAGACCCTACTTGAGACAAGTAATAACATCAATTGTTTTAAATAATGTTAATCAAAAATAGCTATTTAATAAAATTTTGTAAAAATCTAAAACAAGAAAAAATTAAAATGATGTTCAAACTTGAGCGGAAGTTTAATGTTTAGCGAAATTTTAGTTAAAATTTTGTTAATTCTTTAGTTCAAGCATCAGTCAGTCTAATTCTAGTCTAAACTGTGACAAGATGTCGAAAATGATATTTCAAATAATTCTATCAATTTTTATAATTGTTCAAAAATCCAGAGGACAAATTTTGCACTGCAGATATTTAAATGAAGTGACTTACACCTGTAAACTTGATGTTCTTCTTGCTGAAAATCGAATGAATTCAACAAAAGTTTCTGGTGAACATTTAAACGACCAATCTGATGATGAAGTCACTATCGTTAAAGCTATTTTCGGTTCCTATTCGTTCTTTTTTCCATCAATAATTTGTGAAAAGTTTAAGAATTTGAAAGTTTTAGACCTTAAAGATTTGGGCATTCAATTTCTTCAGAATAATTCGTTTGATGATTGCACAAATTTGGAAAAATTGATGATTAATATTGTGATTAATACTGAGTTGCCGGATAATTTATTCAATGCCAACACAAAGATGTCAAGTGTGATGATTGTTGGAAGTTCATTGCAGTCATTGTCAAAAAATCTTTTCAAAAGTCAAGAAAAATCGTTGAAGGATCTCGAAATTCAATTAAATAATGTCAATTGCTTAATTCCATGGAATTTTTTCCAGTCACTCAGCAATCTTCAATACTTAGTCATTGCCATCAAAGGATTGAAAACTCTTGATCCAGACTGGTTCAAAACTTTATCAAAACTCGAAGAACTCGCAATCGTTCAGTCAGAAATTTTGAATCTTCCAAAATATGTTTTCACAAATTTAGAAAATTTACGAAAACTTTCACTTCGTATAAACAAATTGACAGTCATTCACTTGGATTCTTTTGCTAGCCTTGTGAATTTAAACTATTTGGATCTGTCAGACAATAAAATTTATTCAATGGATCCGGATATTTTTAAATTGAAAAAATTGAGATTTGTGAATTTTTCGAATAATTTTTGCCGGCAAAATTCTGTGATTGACTCGTCATATGATATAAATTCAATGCCTTATCTCACTAATCAATGCACTCATAATTTTACACTACAGAGTAAGGTTTAAGTTCAGTTATCTTATTTGGTGAATTTTAAAAAATTTAAATAAAAAAGCAATAGTCTTTGTTAATTTTCAAGAGAAATTAACCTCAATATTAAGTCGTCGCTTTAAAATTTAAACTTAATTTGAGTCATCGCTTTAAAACGTATTCTCAAATTAAGTCGACGCTTTAAATCTTATTCTCAATTTAAATTATGCTTTAAAACTTCGTCCCATCTAAGTCGTCGCTTTACATCAATTACCGTAACCAACTCGATGTTTTGAAACACAGCTTAAAAAAATCCAATTAAATCTCAAAATAACAATAAACATTTATTACAATAACATAGATTAAGCATGTGGATGCAGCATGTAGCTTGCAGTACAATCATCAGTGTAGTTCCTTATCAATCTTCTATCGCTTGTCAAATCCATTATTCCATCGGCTCCACAAAAGTTATCTGCTAAATTGACGATTCGCAATTTTGGATGTTTATAAATTTTAGGATCAATTGAAAGAATTTGGTTCTGCATTAAGTCCAGCACTGTTAAATTATTAAGACCAGAAATTGAGTCAGCGTGGAAAATTGTCAAATTGTTTGACTGCAAAATTAATTTTCTCAAATTTGTCACTGGCGAAAAAATATTTTTTGAAAGATTTAAAATTTCTGAATTTAAAATGTAAAGTTCCTCTAAATTTGCTAATTTACTGAACCATCCAGGATCGAGATTTTTAAGTCCAGTGATTTCAATTTTCAAATAAAAAAGATTTTCAAAATCATTAAAAAAATTCCAAGGAAGTAAAAAGTTTCCGGTATAAATGTGCATTTCCAGGATTTTTAAAGTTTTGAATTGATACTTAAGGATGTTTTTGGACACTGTCTGCAAGGAATCGCAACTTAATTTTAAACTTGTTAATTTTGTGTTGTTAAAAAATAAATTTTCTGGAAATTCAGTATCCATTGAATTAGTCAGCAGCATTTGGTCCAAATTTGAGCAGCTCACAAATGAATTCTTGTCAAAAACCTCAATTATTGAATTCATCGTGTCCAATTGGTTTAAATTTTTGAATTTCTCACAAAGTTTTGTTGGAAAAAAGTACGAAAAAGTGCCTGACTCGATTACAATTTTTAGCACGTCATCATCCGATTTGTTATTTATGTGCAATCCAGTAATATTAGTTGAATATGTAAGCTCTTTATTGACAAGCATGTCCAGTCTGCAAGAATATTCTCCTGAAAGAATGTCAAAATATTTGCAATTTAAAATTTGTGAATTTATATTTTGGTTGATTATGAAAATTTGGAGAAAAATTAAATTTATTTTTGACATTTTTGTTCAATTTTGGATGAATAACTAGCTTTAAATGTAAATATAGCTTCAATCTGTCCAGTTGCAACATCAACAGTGAAATGTCCGAGCTATTTTTACATTTCCTGTTAAAAACTTTAATTTTTAAAACAATAAATTTTAATTCGTTGCTACACAGTTTTATTCTTGACTTATGTAACCTAGCTTTAAAATATTAAAAGCGTAACTTCAATTTATGTCAATGCTTTGAATCAGATTAAGTCAACGAGTTAAAACTTTCCTTCAGTCGACGCTTCGAAGTTTCAATTCATATTAAATCAATGCTTCGAAGCTCTGATTCAGATTAAATCAACGCTTTAAAACTTTCCTTCAGTCGACGCTTCAAAGTTTCAATTCATATTAAGTCAATGCTTCGTAGCTCTGATTCAGATTAAATCAACGCTTTAAAACTTTCCTTCAGTCGATGCTTTGAAGTTTCAATTCATATTAAATCAATGCTTCGAAGCTCTGATTCAAATTAAATCAACGCTTTAAAACTTTCCTTCAGTCGACGCTTCGAAGTATCGATTCATATTAAGTCAATGCTTTTAAGCTCTGGTTCAGATTAAATCAACGCTTTAAAACTTTCCTTCAGTCGACGCTTCGAAGTTTCGATTCAGATTAAGTCGTGACTTCAAATATTTATCTCGTTTTTTTTGGGTTGTCGCTTTATGAAAAAATTCAATAAAAAAATAATTTCTGAAAATTCGGTCCTCATTAATTCTAAAATTTAAAATTCCACCCGTCACTTACCCACTCCATCAAAATCTTCAACTTTTCCTTTTATTTTCTTTCAACTTTGTTTGTATTTAATTATTTTTCCTTAACGTTATTTAACCTCGCTTCAGTGATTTTTTATTGCCACCCAAACCAACTGCTTGAGTGCTGCTTTTTATGTGCCATACATTTTTCAATGTGCTTGTGTGCGTCTTTTTTCCATGCGACATTAAAAATTTTCTATTGAAAGAAAAAGAGTTTTTCAATTCAACGCACGAAAAACGAGGGAAAAATGTTTAAATTTTTTTGAGAAAAAAGGAAGCGAAAAAAGCTGCGGAAAGATTAATGAATTTCACCCCCATCGTGTGTTCTTTATGGTATCGGGGCTGTTTTTCGTTTTCTTTTTGTTTGTCATAAAAAAATTTCTTTTTAACGCGCATAAGCTGGCACAACCCTCTGGTGTTATGAGGCTTTTCTTATTCATTATCGTCTTTTTTTGTAAAGTGTATTTGTGACTGAATAATGAAATAAAATTTTCACTTGGTTAAAAATGGAAATGAAACTAGAAATCAAATATTCTGATCTATTTTGTTTCATTTTCCACATAATTTCACACTGATCACTCAAATTAAGTTTAGATCAATGGGATCATTTTCAAAAATGTTCCCTAATTTGCTCTTGTTCATCATATTAAATTTATGTTAATTTGTATCTTAAACAACAGTGGTTTACACGTTCAGCCATAAAAACGCTCATTCATTAAGGCGCTCAGCAACAAAGATGCTCAGCCATAAAAACGCGTAGCCATAAAGACACTCAGCCACAAAAAAGCTCAGCCACAAAGACGCTCAGCCACAAAATAGCTCAGCCTTAAAGATACTCAGTCTTTATAAAAAAATATCAAATTTTAATTTTCCTGTTTATTTTTTTGTGAAATTTTATCCAAAACTTCTTTAAGTTCTTCATTCTATCTCTTTAATCATGTTTTATTAAAATCTTCATTCCCATACATCGACTAAACCTCCCACATCTCATCTTACACGAAAAATGCATTCAAAAAGATTGCGAAACAAGCACAAAAAATGTTGTTCATCAAAAATTCATCTCAAGAACTGAAAAAACGAAAAGATGAAATTTTTTCTGTTTTTCTTTCTTTTTATTTCATCTACGGTTGGTTGCTAAGTGAACGAAATGCCTAAAACCATAAAGAAAAAGGAAAAGAGGCAAAAAAATAATGAAAGGAGAAATTTTTTTGCTCCATGCTTTGAAAAAGAGAAAAAGATGATTGAGGATGTGAAAAATTTATGAAAACACAATTTATAAACATGGTTGAGTGGATGTAGATGAGTAAAATATTCTTGAAGAGGGAAATTTAGGGCTTAAATTTGTAAGATTTAGTTAAGGCTGAGCTTCATTACGGCTGAGAATCATTTATTGCTGAGCGTCATTCTGATTAAGCGTTACTATGGCTAAGCGTCGTTATGGATTAGTATCATTGTTATCGAGTCTTATTGTGACTGATCGTTATTGTGGCTGAGCATTATTGTGGCTGAGCATTATTGTGGCTGAGCATTATTGTGGCTGAGCATTATTGTGGCTGAGCGTTATTGTGGCTAAGCATTATTGAGGCTGAGCGTTATTGTGGCTGAGCATTATTGTGGCTGAGCGTTGTTGTGGCTAAGCATTATTGTTGCTGAGCGTTATTGTGGCTACGCGGAGTTAATACTAAGCGTTTTGAGAGCTACGCGTATTAAAACTGAACTCATGAAACCTAGAAACAAAAAAAAATAAAGAAAAATCCTAAAACCCCCTCAAAATTCAACACAAAAACTAAAATATTTTTTCACCATCTAAATTCATCTCACAAAGCACATAGCACATTAAATATAAAGGATGTGTAAAAGAAAGGGAAGAAAAAAATTTATGCATGAAAAAATGAGAAAGAAAAAGAAAAATTATTTCCATTCTCGAAGGTGAATGTGCTTGCTGAAGCATATACAAGCAGCACATAGCGTTAGCAAGGAAAGCTCTTGGAAATGAGAAAAATGAGAAGTGGAAAAAAATTTGATGATGGAGGTAAGTTGGAGGGATTTAATGTTGATTGAGCGCCTTTTTTGAATATGTTAAGCTATGCGTCTTAAGGCTGAGCGTTGTTCTAGCTGAGCGTTATTACAGCTGTGCGTTTTAAAGCTACGCATCGTTCTAGCTATCTTTGGAGCAGTGGAACTCTTAATAATCGAAAGCAGCCAAATACCAGACAAACTGCCAACAACACCTTTAATTATTCTAAATTAAAAGAACTCAGCATTATAAAAATTGCTCGAGTAGATGAGGTTTCTGTTCTACTGCCTCGCTTGCTAGCGGTAGAAACACCCATTAAGCAAACTCGTAGAAAAAAATTTTTCCTTCCATTTTTATCCTCCTCGTCTTCTTTTCACTGAGAAAATTACGATGAATTTTTTGTTTTATACATCTTCACTGCTGCTCATGGAGGTCTCACCAAACCACACCGAGTCGAGGCGGGTTTTTAATATGAGAAAAAAAAACAGAGAATTCTTTTCCTGCAAAGCTGCCGTTCATTTTGGTTTTTCAGCGAGAAAAACTTTTTTCATTCGACTCCGTATTTTTTTTGCTGCTGCAAGCTGTATTTATGAGATATAGTAAGTTAGACTTCAGTTTTAAAATACTTTTTTTTGTGCTTGAATCTGTAGAAAAATAAAGACGAACGAAGCGAATGAGAGTGAAAAAAAAAAGTTTCTCGACAAATTGCTTCGCTTTCATGATTACAGACGATGGCAGAAAAATGGAAATGAAGAATGGAAAAAGTTTTATGTTAGTTAATGATGAACGACTGAGCTGTGAGATAGGAAATGTGAGATAAGGTGGGGTTGGGTGGAATAAATGGATGGTCGAGGGTAAATGAAAATGAATTTTGTGGGGAGATTTTAGCTGATGAGCTTGATAAAATGAAAAATGGAGGTTGAAATTAAGACTTTTAAGATAGATTTTGGTATAAAACTCCACACCAACCGCATCTTTGTAGGAATTAAGAATATTTTGAAAATTTGTTTGTTTTAATTTAAAAATTTTAGCTTGTGAGCAACTTACGACAAATATTTGCACAAATTCACAATTTACACAGCTGATCATCATTTTGTACGATCGCACAGAACATTTATTATGTACCAAATGCCAAACCGGAAACATCAAATAAGCAGCCGAGCTAGCTCAGTCGGTAGAGCATGAGGCTCTTAACCTCAGGGTCGTGGGTTCGAGCCCCACGTTCGGCGAATTCCTTTTTGCACTTTTTTAAGGCTTTGGCTTCTTTATTTTGAAAGACAAGTTAAATAAAGCTAAATTGTACAATTTTCAATGATTTTTTGTAAAACATATGTTTGGAGTCCTGTAGACTGCTAATTAGAGTACCATGTTATTTATCTTGAAAACAAAATTCAAATATTATCAATTTCACCATTTTCTTCAATCAAATTGTTGTGATTAATAATTCCAAAAAAATAAACACTTTACAAAAAAACTTTGAAAAATATTCAAATGCAAAAAAAAGGGATTTCTCAAAAACTCAACATTTCATGAAAAAACTTTTGTTTTTCACAAAGCTTCAATATTATATTTTTTTGTGTTCATCATTCTCATAAATTATGGATCGAATGTTAACATTGTAGCTGATTTTCTAGGATAATATGAAGTTAAAATATTAGATTTTGCAAAATGTCACAAGACTTAATTCAAGTTTCAGACGTACTGAATCAACCTTTGATTATTCTATGTTGCGTCTTAGGCCCACGTCTGTACACTAGCTTGCATTTACCCTTCATATTTACTCGAATGAATTTCAACATTTTTTAAATGCGCCTTTAATACTTTAGATTTTTCTTACTTGTTCCCTATTACCATCATCTACCGTTGTTGCCATGGAGGAGATTACAAGAAGAATTTTTTGCTTCTTATTTTATCTCAAACATTATAAACTCACTTTTTGTCATTTCAGCTTCTGTCTGCCTTAATGCCAGCTTCTTCAAACCCCTTTTTTTTGGTCCTCATCTTCAATAAGATTTCATTTTCATCTTTCTTCCTTTTTTTTGTGCCACCATCGCACTTTCTTTTCAGAAAACTTTTGTCCCATCCCACAACTTTTTTTTCGGTCTCATCCGCTCGCTTTTTTGTTCTCATTATAATAAATTTAAATTTTCATCCTTCTTTTTTATGCTGAGAATGTCTTAAAAAGGAAAAATAAATGTGGAAGTTGAGCTGCTTTTTGTGTGTGTTATTCATTATTTTTTGCTGAGCTTGAAGAACATTTTCTCATTTTTTTTAAAGAAAAATTTCAAATGATGGATGAAAAAAATTAATTTTTAAGAAGATAAGGTTTAAGGAAATGAGGTTTGAGATACTTGGGATTATACAGAAAGGATGATGAGCATTAAGCTGATTTGGGTTCTTTTTTATAACAAGAATCATATAAGAACTCTTTAAATAATACAAAAAAGTTATAAAAATTAAGGACAATTCCAACAGCATTCGAGAATTTTAGACTTTGAAACTGTCAGAAACCTTAAAAAAGTGCAAAAAAGAATTCGCCGAACGTGGGGCTCGAACCCACGACCCTGAGGTTAAGAGCCTCATGCTCTACCGACTGAGCTAGCTCGGCTGCTTATTTGATGTTTCCGGTTTGGCATTTGGTACATAATAAATGTTCTGTGTGATCGTACAAAATAATGATCAGCTGTGTAAATTGTAATATTTGTGAGAAAAACATTTGAGCAAATATCGAAAGTTGGATTTTAGATATGTTTATTTGGGTTTAGTACGTTTTGAAGGGGAAAACTTATTAACTAAGGTTAAATAAATTATAAAAAGTTAAAAGAAGATATAGTCATTTTAAAAAGTATTTTTAAAATAATCAAAAAATACATTGAATTTAAATAATAATAAGAATATTTTTTGACGATCATTAAACGGAATAGCTACACACAAAACACCTCAATACACATGTTATACTATTTATAGAATGCCATGCGTAAGTTTTTGTGTTGATCAACTTCAAAATATCTCTTTTTTGTTTAAACGTAAGTTTGATCTACTTTTTTAATTTTTATAAACTTATTCTTAATTTGGGAGTAAAATCTCTGGCTAGTCTCCTGATTTGTTGATTTATTGACACCCATTATCATTTTCAGTACATTTTTTCAGCATTTCTTTTAAAGTTTCTTTACAGTTTGCTGCACTTCCTTCAGATTTATCATTTGCACAGCCGTTACCCCTCATATCCATCGTCACAACACCTGTATTGTCAATCAATACTTCATCAATTGCTGTAATTTCATTAAATCTAAAGTCAATGTGCTTTAAATTTGGCAAAATTCCAAACGAATCCGCACAAATTATTTTTAACATATTTTCAGCGAGGCTCAAATTTTCTAATTTTTTTAGATCATTAAAACTGTTATTTGGAATTTTGTGGATTTTACAGCTCGTGATGCTTAAAGTTTTCAAACTTTTGAGATTTTTAATCCATTCAAAATTGAAATTCACGACATTTCCAATCGACAAGTCTTCTAAATTTTGAAATAAACTGAAGAAATTTTCCGGCACTTTGTAGCTTGACTTTGAAGTGATGTGGAATTTCCTGAGTGATTTACGTTGGCTTTTTAAGAAGTTTCTAGGCACTGAGTCGATTAAAATGTTCTCCATCAGCAACATCTCCAAGTTCTGGTTCTCATTCAGTAAATTTTCTGGAATTTCTTTGATTTTGTTGTCACTGAGCATCAAAACTGCCAAATTTTTGCACTTTCTGAACGAAGCTTCCTCGAAAGTTTCAATTTTTGTATTTCTGAAGTCAATTTCGAGGACATTCGGAAATGTTTCACAGATTTTTGAAGTAAAATGATTCGAAGTTGCATCGGAAGTTGCACTTATAGCTGTGATTTGATCATTTGATATTTGTGGAATGTTTTTTGCATGGATTTCTGGTTGGTTGTGTTGTTGTTGTAGCTCACATTTGTAAGAATTAGTTTTATGCAGCTTACTGTCTATTTTTGACAATTTACAGGTGAAATCTTCAATATTTTGAGCATTTTTGATCAACAAAGCACAAAAAACAATACAAACAATTTTTCTGCACATTCTTGCAAGACTTTCAACTTCAAGAAGCTCAAAAACACAACTGATGAAGTAACGGAGCTTTATAAGATGTTTAAAAGACATGTAGACAGTTATTGACATGTGTTGGAGACTGTAAACAACAACATCAAGTTGAAGGTCGTTCATAAAGTTACCATAAAGGAGTTGCTCATCTTCTTTCTCTTCTTTCATCTCAACCTGTTTCAGAATTTACAGTTTATGCTTTCATTTGATTTTTAGAGGTGTGTCTGTGCTTCATTTAGGAATGCATTGAATGTAGCTAAAGTGAGTCCACTTGTGCCAATTATGGAGGAGACTTATCTCTTTGCGAACTATCTGTTTATGTTTATTAAGGATCATCTAATGTTTTGCTGAAAATCTAGTCTTTTAAAGCTTGGCCCTAGTCCCAGGCATCATTGGTTAAACCCAAGCACTTCCATTCAAATTGAAGATACAAAGCTCAAATCAGAGTCAAGTCACATGACTAACCCGAACAGCATTGATTTAAATCTAACACCATGTCAGAGTCACATAGGCTTTGTGCCGGATTTCTGAAAGATTAACCGATTGGTGCCATTTGGGTAAAGTTGGCATTAGCAGTTTCAAGTTCAAGCTATGATTAATCATTGCTTAGCATCCAAACGCGTAATAACAAAACAAATGAAAATGTTCGCAATATTTGTTTTCCAAAAATAGCCAGTGCTGATAGCTGCACTGACATGCCTCCACATTTATCTCATTTGTTTATGTTTATTTGAATAGTTTCTTATCGCATTCAAAAGTCTGTATCCGCTGAATGATTTGACATAATTCGACTTTCTCTCGTTCGGTCAGTGTTGTGTTTTGATGGCTTGATGTATATAGGGAATAGAAGTCTCAAGGAAGGGCTGTTAACATAGTTTTTTAAAAATTCTTATCATTTTGTACTTCCAAGTAAGTAGACCAAGAAGTGCAGTTATACTTCATTTGGTTGGTTTGGTGCTAGCTTGTTAATTCTTACCAACTTTAGCTAAGCCAGCATCACGTCAGTCTCATAAAGCTAAAGAAGCTTTGGTCCGAGTAGATGCTCAGGCTTTTAACTGCTTTAATTAATTCTATTAGCCACTTATCCTTGCCATGAATTACCAGCTCTGCCTGCATGTTTATCATTTTGAATAATTTTCTCACAAACAAAATTTTATAATTCCACATTTTTAATCAGCAATTGCAGCTCAACTAATTCAGTCAGTCGCTTATAAAATCTCGCAAAATGAGGACGTTAAAACTATTTGTTCTGCTCATATCCATCACATACGCACTATCAGTTGAACTGAGTTGCACTCGACATTCTGAACTTGAGCATGTTGAATGTGAATTGAGCCAAAAAGTTGATGATTCTGAAATTGTTGCTGTTTATGGATATAAATCAAAGATTGGAGAGAGCTTTACAGACATAACTGATCTTGTGCTAACTTATAAGAATCTTCCACAGCACATGCCACATGGAATCGGAAATGTTTTCAAGAAGCTGATCAGTTTTGATGCCTCGTCGTCAAGTGTTAAATATTTTGACAAAATGTGCTTCGAAAAGATGGAAAAAGTGAAATTTTTGAGACTATCGAATAATGAAATTGAGGAACTGCCTGGAGATGTTTTTGAGGGATTGCCAAATTTGCAGCATCTAGACATGACGAAGAATAAGATTAAAAATTTGCCGGCTGATATTTTTGTGAAAAATGTGAATTTAAAATACATAAAATTGAGTGAAAATCAGCTCGAGGTGCTTGATGCTGGCGTCTTTGCTAATAATGTGAATTTAAAAAAGATTTTCTTGAATGGCAATAAATTGAGGAAAGTTGCGATCGACTTTACAATTCTTAGTGAGCTGTCGTTCTTGGATCTGCTTGATAATGCTGGAAAGTGTAACTTTAGATTCGACAGGAAGACTTTGGATGGATTTGACCTTCAGAATATTCAAAATACTGTCGAAAGTGGATGTAATTAGAGTTCTAAAATGGCATTTAAATAAAAACATTTTTAAGAAATTTAAAGTAATTGAAAAACATGAAAAAAATTTGAAACAAAAAAAAAATAAAAAAAAAATTAAGTAAAACAAAAATAAAAAAATGTGAATTTTTCTTGAAAATTAAAAATAAAAATCAAAAAAAGTCTTTTTTAAAAAGAATAAAAAGTCGACAAACAAATTGAAAATAAAAAATTGCATCAAAAGTATATCGAAATCAACAACCAGAAAATTGTCATTGGCTTGAGTAAATTAATTTAAATTTCAGACACAGCGGCCCACACCAATGAACACATAAAGGCCTTTTTTATATTTTATTTCTATAGGCTCAATGCAATGAGAATAAAATAAATAAATAAAATATTTAAATGTACACAAGAGTTGCTTGTACACATGATAATTGTATAATCAAAAACATGCACGCATAAAATTTAAAATAAATTTAAATGTATAAATATTGAGTATGGATTTTTTTGCAGGATATCAAGGGTTGGTAACTTTTGACTGATGATTTAAAACAATATAGATAATGCTTAGAGGTCTACAAATTATGACGTCCATTAAAAACATTATTTTTAAACCTTCTACTCTCTCTCGGTCACAAAACTGTCACAGAATCCAGTACCTCCCAGCTTCCCCTTCCAATCACCTCCTTCTGTGACGTCCAATCAAAGGTGATCAAAAATTATGATTTATTTTTGTGAAATCGGTTGACACAAATTTCCTGACCCCCCCCCCCCCCCCCCCCCTCGCTGACGAACAAAAATTTCTTTTGTTTGAACTGTTACAAAATCTCAAAACTATCCCCTAAAATACGTTTTGTAATAAGTAAATGGACCCTGATAAAATAAAAATTTCAAAAAGCAATATTTTAAAAGTTGCCAGCCCTAGTAATTAACAACCCCCATCACTTCATTGCACGACTCCCAAAAAAAAGAAAAAATAAAATTAACAATGCACCAAAAAAGTGCACAACAGAGACGAAAAAAAGGTCCTCAACTTGCCAATTGCTGTTCTGCCAGTTGCGTGAATTGCATGTTAATTATAATGCAGCATCGATTTTTTTCCTTTTTTTTGGCTCATTCACGACTACCACAGTGCAATAAATAACAACAAAAGCAGCCTGCAGGGGAAATTTTTCGAGAGGCACAAAATAATTTTTCGTGTTTTTTCAGTTTGACAATTTTTGTTCAACTTTTTTTTCGGCATAATAAACATGCAGTTGCATAAACAGAAGCATTGCAATTGCATTAATGACTGCTGTTTTTAAGTTTTGGGGGAGTTTTTGGGTTGGGCTGGGGATGATTCTGATGGAGTTGTGACTTTTGGAACTAATTGGAACGAGGATTTTAAAAATTGCAAAAGTATTTGACAATTTACAAACAAACAAAAAATAATTTCAATTAAAATGGACAGAAAATAAAATTAATGTCTGTCAAATTTAAATAAAATTGATGAATTTTACAAATTTATTTATGTTTCGATATTTTAATATGATTATTTAAATTGCAATGTTATTATATTATTATTTCAATTATTGCTTTTGGAAATTTAAAATTTAATCAGCAATTTTAATTTTTTTCAATTTAAAAAAAATTCTTTTAAATTTCACAATTTTCACCTCCATTTATTTTTTTATCAATGCTTTCATTTTTGAACCGCTTTGTTATTTTTAATGACATCGCTTGACTGCATTTCCCATGAAGCACTGGTGCAATTTTAATTACAATTTATTGTGAGAGTAAGGCAGATGTATGACGACTAAAACTATATGAAGCTTGTGAATAAACTTCCGAGCTGAAAATTTATTCTTCAAATTTAAAAAAAAAATAATAATTATTTACTCGATATTATTTTAGCCAATCATCAACCAATCTGAACGTCACTGAATCTGAACAGCCTTGTTTTTGAGTGACACTGTAGCTGAGCGTCACTCTTGCTGAGCTTTATTAAGTCTGAACTTCCTTAAATCTGAGCTTCATTTTATCTGAGCTTCAATAAGGCTAAGTGTCACTAAGATCGAGCTGTATTGAGGCTGAGCTTTACGAAAGCCGAGTTTCATCAAGGCTGAGCGTCACTAAGGCTGAACGTCACTAAGACTGAACGTCACTAAGACTGAACGTCACTAAGGCTGAGCGTCACTAAGGCTGAGCGTCACCAAGGCTGAGCGTCACTAAAGCTGAGCATCATTTAGACGAATCGTTGATAAGACTGAGCATCACTAGGATCGAGCTTCATTAAGGATGAGCTTTTTTAAAACCGCAGTAAATATGTTTCAGTAAATATGATCGTCGTTAAATCTGAGCTTCATTCAAGGTTGAGCGTCACTGAAACCAAGCATCACTAAAACGGAGGTTCATTAAGGCTATGCTTTATAAAAAGCCGAGTTTCATCACGGCTTAGCGTCACTTACGCTGAGCATCACTTAGACGAATCATCGATAAGATTAAGCATTATTTAAGCTGAGCGTTCAGCTTTGTGTTTAGCAAGATGAAATTAAAATTAGGAATGGCCTATTTTCAGCACAGAAGTTCCAACACATCCACTAATCGGATAAAAAATTGCAGTATTTCCATTTTAAGCCTTTAATTATGATCAAAGTTCTTGCTTTAAAATCCTTCATTAAATCTGCAATTTGTGAGTTGATGTTCATGTTTTTGTGCATTTCCATGTCCATTTATGTCCAACGTCTGCATATGTTGATATTTGCATACACATATATATCAGTATGTGGGTTTGTTGACGTTGCCACCCAACATGCATCAACAACCTTTGATTGAAAAAGCGCATTCAACCGTGCACATTCATCCCATCAGAATTAACAGCAAAAAAGAGACTGCAGCAATGTTTTTAAATAATTAATTTTTTTCAGTCCCACATCGCATCTCCACCTTTACGTTGTCTATAATTTCATTATAATTTTTTTTGTTCCTGTTCCTGTTCCCATAATGACAAACACACACACAGACATCATATCATGTCATTCATGATGCAACCTCGTCCCATGAATATTTTAATAATTGTATTTAATAAAAAAAAAATTGCACAACAATTTTTCGCTAAAATTAACGTTGAATTTTCATAATTATTATTAATTAATTATTATTTTTTACGTTCCATCCCCAAATGTGTCTCCTTTTTTATGCTCATTGAGAATGCATGGAAAATTCCATTGCATGATGGAATGAATGAGCATTAAAAAATCATAATGAGATATTAAAATTATAAGACAAGGTAACGGGGAAGTGAAGAGAGGTTAATTGAGGAAATTGATGAAGAATTTTTGATTTCGCGGATAAAGAATTGAATGAGTTTATGGATACGGAATGTGGGATGTTAATAGATTTGGAAATTGTAATTTAAGGATTTAGTCTAAAGGAATTCAAAGATTGATTCATTATTGTATAAACAGATGGGAACCGGAGAATTTATAGACAAAAACTGGAAGACCTATAACCTTATCATTATCCATGCCTAAATATAGAGCAATTCTGACTGAGGATCCGTAACCTGAATGTCACAAGTCAGTTAATCGATCAGAAATATGGTAACAAGCCGGTGTGACTCTGGCGAGGTGCTGGATTTAAATCGAAGCCTAAGTTATATTCAATTAACCGACTTACCGACTTATGACTTTCTCATAATTATTTGCAGATATTTTGAGAGTATTAAGATTTCATTGATTGGCTTAAAACCAGTCAAAAAAGTGGAGTATAATACCAATACTCACTATGACTTTCATTCAGAAAAATTAAAATTGTGCGACATATTTGAGAGAGACTTTAAACTTTTTACCCAAAAATGACGCATGTTACATGAATTAAATCAATTATTCATTTTTATTTTATTTTGGGTTCAATTTTGAATTAAAATCTTATGATAAATGCAAAGCTATTGCCGTGCATCATATTTACTGAAGACATTAAACTGTAATCCAAAATATGATGCACAAATTTATCACTTTATTAATTTAAAAGTGCTAGTGGATGTGAAATTCTGAACCTTCGTCAGATAAGGCAGGTATTTTTCTCCCATTTTTCCGCTGGTTAATGTTCCTAAAGATCTCTTTTTTTTCTTTTTGGCTGACATTAATAACTAGACAGAAAAAGCACTTAAAGATTTCTGCTTTAATCCATAATCTCAATCTAATTCAATATCTCAACAACCATAAATCGGCAACCATAAATGTAATTATGATCTTCATCTAACGCACATAAAAGACTCTCCTTTTTTCACTTCATACCCCCTACCTCCAACTCAGTTTCACAGTATCATCCATGAAAAAAATGTCGAGCAATAAATTTTCATGCCGTTAGTGTAAAAAATAGCCAAACAGCATAAAAGAGAGCAGCACATATGTCCACTTAATTGTGGACAATACAGACGATGGTGAATAGAGACGGCAGCGGTTAAGGAAGTAAATTTATGTGGCAATTTTTTCCTATACAAAATTTTTTGGAAGTTCATGTGTGTTGATATTTTTGCGGCTGGACAGCAACTGGTTGCTTATATATTTTTGTTGTTTATATTGAGATAATTTGTGTACATTTATGGGATTTTATGATGATTGATGAATGCGGGGTGGTTGAAAGTGATGAGTTTATTGACTTTTGTTGTAGATTAGAAATAGCTATGTGAGGATGGTGATTTAAGGTGGGATTGCGGTGGGAATTTTGAGGTTGGAATGTTAAATTTATGATTTAAATGCTAGAAAATGTCAAAGTTATCGATTTCAGATTATATTTTGTTGTCAAAGTTATTTTTAAGAGACGTGCGTCATATTTGGGAAGACTTTAAACTGGTTTCCAGATTATGACGCACAGTTCTTTTAAATTTATTTAATTTTTGATGGCAATATCTGATTCGAACAATTTCTATTTAAGTCAAAAAAAGCCTCAAAATCTTTTAAAAATCATGTAAACTCAACGATTTAATTTAAATCAGGGTCAATGACCTTCAGATCATTTTTTCTCACAAGATGACCAAACGACCCCTTTAACAGCTTTTTTCAAGACATCCAATTCCTTATGTTATGCTATGCATTATCAAAATCTACCTGCGAAGTGGACAATATCTACAAACTAGATATCCTTTACACCCCTTTTTTATTCCCATAAAATTGACCATCACATTAGAAGTTCTTTAAGAAAATTTCACAATTCCGTTGTCCAAATGTCTTCGAATTTCTTTGTTCCTTTACAAAAATTTTCTCATGATTCTCCTTTCTTTCCAATTTTAACGCATTTTTTATTCGAGTCCCAAATGAGAATCATTGAATGGGACTAATTTGCATAAACTGACCGTTGGTCATAATCATATTGACTTGAAAAACAAGTTTCTCATGGATATTAGCATTCAGAGGGGTTGAAAAGTTTTAATTGTCATTTGAAATGCGATTTTTTTTGTAAATTTCTTTTGTAAGATT